GGGAGGGGAGGGGGAACAAAAAGGGGAATAGGTTCTCAAGGGGAATAAAGTTATTCGGTAGGTAAATTGTGGAGATCTAGTTCTCAGGGGGAACTTCAATTATAAGTTTGTCATCATCAAAAAGGGGAAAATTGATAAGTTATGTGCTTTTTGTATTTTGATGATTTAACAAACTTTATATGAGAACTATATAAGGAACCTGTTACACAGCCTCAAAGTATTCAGAACAACAAGTCACATGTCTGACACAAGTTCCAACATGATTAGTCAAAGAAACAGCAGAGGGAACCGATGGCTATCAGTTCCTCCGGTGACAGTACAAGTCAACTTCCTACAACTATTAAAGTCGCTGCATTATTTCTCTGCACACGAAATAGTGCAGCAGTCACTTTATGGAGTATGACTTGTATTGGATATTTGCATACATCATCCCAATGACCTCACTTATATATTACCAATATGAGGCAAGGAAAAATACACACTTGCAAACCCTAAATAACTAAGTCTCTCTCTCAAGTGTGTTGCCGCCTCTCATTGAATCCAAGGCTTGAAGAACAAAGTAGCAACAGAATAAAGGACCAGATCCCAGCACTGAGTTTATCATATGTCCTTAGTATTGTTGTATCTTTGTTAGTGTTATTTACTTGTAATTCCTACTCAGCTTAGTTAGAAGCATTCTGTAGGACATCGTCTGTAAAATCATAAATCTTGTATTTGTGTTTGGCTACAATTAGTCAAAGTAGTGAGCTTTGTAATAGAGTTATTACAAAGAGGCTTGCAATAGAATTATTGCAAGTAGGTGAGGGATTACGAGGTTAATTCCTAGATTAAAATAGGTTGTAATTTAAAGTTTGCTCGGTTAGTGAAGTTGAAATCATACGAGTGATGGTCGTGATTTTTAATCCCATGAGTTGGGAGTTTTTCACGTAAAATACTGTTGTGTCATTTACTTACTGCTGTGTGTGTTTTTGTGGGAACTGATGGAGAACCAGGTCCTCTATACAGTTTTGTGGACTCTTAGTTCAGATCAATTAAGATGTTACCAAAAAAGTACTTGTTCCAATCCTGGACATTAGCAGAAAAACAATCAATGGCTGGTAAGAGTTCTTGATTAATGGTGTCCCAAATGTTATTTGGACAACATCAATAAAATCCGGGTGGGATGACCAAATTATTTCAAAACAAAGTTAACTAGGCAATCAATTAAGCAAATCATTAAGTAAGAGCGTTGAAGGAGGGATTGCAGTCCAAGTGTTATCCTTCTCATATTTGAATCGTTGTCGAGCAATTGCTTTCATTGACGCACTTGTATTCCTTTACTTCTTCTCATTTAGTAATAGTAATAGTAAATAGTTAAATGTAAATCCTACTAATATTCAGCTTAGTACTGAAGTCAGGTGTCACGGGCCAATTTTCTTACGTACGTCAACAACACCGAATAGCCTGTTCGGCGCCTGCAGTCACCCCTCCTTGCAGGCCAACCTTTCTCCTTTCCCAGGTTTTCTAGCATGATCATGTGCCTGTGGTGAAGCTTGCCTAGGAGGCTTGCTCCAACTGTGCCACCCGTCTGATGTCTAGGCTCATGGTC